TATCTGAGATTTTTTCTTTTTCATTGTTAAAAATTACATTTTTTAAATTGAATATTTAATAGATTGTGTGTTAATAAATTGCATTGTGCCAGCTCAGACTAAATTAATATATGTTGGATATAACCAAGCTGAATTAAGACAGATTTTTATTTTCTGCTCTGATTTTGTGGGGAAAATCTGCAGAATGCTATGGAAAAAAATAAAAATAGATAAATGCATTGTTTCATTTATAAACCTATACATTTAGAATTTTGTTTCAGTTTTATTAAGAATTTAAATATCCTGATTATATAATATTCGGTAATTTACCATTTAAAAACAACATTACTAGTTACTTTGTCAGTTTCGTCAGTCCACTGCCAAAGAAAAGCAGCAGTGAGTGTAGATTTGATACTGAATGATTCAGTGTTTTTGAACAAATTGATTGAGTAAATGATTCAGTGAATCTTTCATAAGAAAAAATGCCAGATGTGCAGTCGAATGGAAAAAAAGCAAAGTTGCAAGGCACTTTTTTTTTTTTATTGAACTACCTACTTTTAACTTGTGTCACGGAATGCCAGGAGAAAACGAGGTAAGTTCCAAGTGCAGTTTATTGAAAATAATAACAGAACAAAAACGTTGCAAAAGGTAATCCAAAACCTGACACCGACAACACCAACTAAGAAGACAATACAATCCAGACGCAAATGACAGACAGAGAAGGCATGATATATATAGCTGGGTTAATGATGAACAGGTGTTACCGATTAAACCAGGATTAGTGAGCAGGGGACTATGGGAAATGGAGTTTAACACAAACAACGAAAACAAATGCAGAGAGGTTAGCATATTTATACTCTAAAAAAGCAATTAGCGCCACAGAGAAATTAAATGAAAGAGTGAATAAAATATGGCTGGAAACAGATGGAAGGGAAATGAGAGTATTTTGGGTTGAAAAAAATCAAAGACAAATTGAGTAGAAAACTAGAAGCAGAATTGGTCAATAAAATAAGTTTTTTAAATAATAAAATTGAATTCCTATATAAACTTTGTTTCATAAGGTACATTGCATTCCTTTTCAATTTTAATTGAATATTTAATTTTCATATATATTGATTCTTTTATGATTTCCGCCAAAGGAGACAGTAATACCACAGGCAAATTAGTGCAAATCCAGACTTTTCTAAAATGCCATCATGATAGTTTCAAGATCACTGGACATTTTGGAAGTATTATTATTAATAATAATGATAATAATAATAACACAATTTTGCATGTTAAATAAAATATGTATTCAAAATATAACCACTTTATTTGTGTTTAAAATGTTATATTATATTTATATTTTGTTGCAGTTACTCTACATCCCAAGATACCGTTTAACAGCACACACACATTGTTTTACAGAATGCAAATATGCAAACACTTTGATTTATTGGTATTTAAAGTTTTTCAACTGCTGCATAGAGGGACACCATATGCGACCACAAAAAAGTGAATAAAGACACTGATTAAAGAGAAGATTAGAGAAACTAATCAATTGAATCAAATAAAGATTCATTTCTTTGATTTGTTGTAAATAGTCAACATTATAGTCAACCCCAAAGGCTGATTCCAAAAAGGTGGGCTAGTTTTGGGCTAGTTTTAATTAGCAGTTGGGCTGGTTTGGTTTCGCAGACCTGGCAATCCTGCGTTTACTGCTGCTACTACAATGCATTCTCCAAAAGATGCTTCACAATTTTGATTCATCCCAGTGAGTCAAATCTTGTAATTCTGTCCACAAAATGACTCGTTTAGAATCTCTGCTTCCTTCAGCAACCTGTACGTCACCTCATTGCGCCTGCAGGTGGCGATCAGTGAATCTTTGAATCATTCACTCAGCAGCACGTTGTTCAAAACACAGAGTTATCTCAACAACAAAACAACGCTAGCTAATCGATCATGATTACTGACTGGTCTTGACCGAAAGCAACTCATGTTTGAAAGTAGAGGCAACAGAAAAGCAATGAAAGAGGTGAAAAAAAAGTTTATTTTAAACAAGTGGAAAACGTATTACAGATGCTTCCACCTCAGCTGCCAGTGGCTAATCCGGCTTTTCGAAGAAGCTGTGTGCTTATGAATGCACCTATATTTATTTATTGTTTTAAAATGAAATGTTAAATTATAAACCATTATACGTTATATTGCTCTGTTTAGTGTAAGATCTCACTTTGCCTGACTGAATGAATCCAGTCTGGGAATCGATTCCGAAGCTTGAATCAAAGTCAGAGTCGATTCCTAGTAATAACGGTAACTTAAAGGGATAGTTCACCCAAAAATGAAAATTCTGTCATTAATTACCCTCATGTCGTCCCAAACCCAAAAGACTGTCATTCATCTTCGGAGCACAGATTACATATTTTTAAATAATTCATTCATTATAATAATTTATGAAGCTACGAGAATACTTTTTCTGCGCGAAGAAAGCAAAAATAACAACTTTGAGGGTGAGTTATTATTGACAGAATTTTCATTTTTGAGTGAACTATCCCTTTAATCTGGTTATGTAAATATTTTGGTACCTGAGGCAGACTAGACATGAATTTTAGTACTGGCACACAAATACTCATGGACATCACACAACACACACCCACACAAAATACAGTTTTATTTGTTTGTGTGCAAAATTAGAGCAAGACTTGCCCTGAGGAAAGATGTGGACAGATGAATGTTCCGTCTGAGACCATTTGACTAAGTCATGTATACTTGCTTACCTCTCTCGGCACATAATTAAAAGCTTGTTTCTGTGTCTCTGTGTGCTACTGGGTACATTATTGTCATTCTCAGTTTATCTCTTTCTCTCCGTGACGTTTTACATTTGGCTCTGCTTTTCTAAATGCTTAACATTTGGCAGCACCACTTCAGGGATGTTTTTCTTATACTGTAGCATCTGGAAATACTTCAGAGTTTTCAAAAATACACACACACACATAGACGAATCAGTCTATGAATCAGACATCAGATGTTGTGTCTTTGTTCTGAGGGCACTTTTGCATCACTAATGACTAGTTAACTGAGTGAAGCTGCTTTGAGCATTCTGATACACAGGCCAGTGTCATTAAGCGCTTTCAGAAGCAGCTGTGCCGCAAAGACATGACGTCATGTCTCCTGCAGTCAAATCATGATGCATGGACAGTTGCAAAGAGAGAAGGCTGGTTTTATGACAGAGACTCGATGTCCAGAGCCCTTGACTTTCCGTATGACTTTCTTTCTTCCATGGAACACCAGAGTCAGTGTGACCGCTTCAGTCCTCTTTCATTTGCACTATATGGAGAAGAGTGTCCAGTACATTCTTAATTATCGCATTGCTGGAGTAAATGGTGACAGAATTTCCATTTTGGTGTGACCTATTCCTTTAAGTGTGATGAAGAGTTTTGTTTTATGGCTGTAAATGTAATCCTCTGGAGGTGCACATTTTCTTTTCTTTTTTTCTACCTCCCTTTATTAAGGTTTTGCCTTAATTAGCAAATTGGACTGTTACCAATAATCCTGGAGGAGTGGCATGTGCCGGAGGAGAAAGAGAGGCAGGAAGAGAGAGAGTGACAGAATTTTTCAGAAATATCTCTGTGATGATGTAATGGATGAAAAATTGGGATGTGGCTGTAAGAGTCTGGGTAGCATATGTTTGTAAAAAGATTTGGTAACACTGGGACCAATTCTCACTATTAACTTGCTTATTAGCATTCTTATTAATGACATATTTGCTGTTTATTAGTACTTATAAAGCACATATTCTGCATGAATATTCTACATCCCTAATCTTACCCAATACCTAAACTATTAAGAAGCAGCAAATTCATAGTTTATTGAGGCAAAAGTTAGTGGTTTGTTAATAGTGAGTATTGGACCTTAAAGTAAAGCGTGACCAATGTTTTTTATTAACCTTAATTTTTTATATTTATTAAATTAAGACATTGATTAACACAAAATATCTGGGTCGAAAATTAACCAGGGATTGAGTCAAAAATGTCGCTAGTATTTTAAATGCATGGAAAATGCCCTTGTGATGAACTCCTTGGTTAAAAGACACAGTAAAGACATTTATGTTACAAAATATTTTAAATAAATGTTGTTCTTTTGAACTTTATATTCAACAGAGTATCCTGATTATCATGATTTCCACAAAAATATTTCTTGGCACAACTGTTTTCAGAGCTTTAAAACCAAATCAACATATTAGTGATTTTTGAAGGATCATGCGACACTAAAGACTGGAGTAATGATGCTGAAAATTCAGCTTTGCCGTCAAAGGAATAAATTACACTTTAAAATATATTGAAATAGAAAATAGTTATTTTAAATTGTAATTTCACAATATTACTGTGTATTTTTATTTTTATTTATTTATTTTTTTTTACAAATGTTCATGTCTTCAAATGAACGAATTTAGATATTTTTAAATATTTAAATCTAAATTGTTCCTTTCTAGACTTGGGTTAGAAGTACTTAACAAAAATGTATGGCACACCAAAGAAAATCCTCATAAAAGTGGGAAAAAACTACAGTGTCTCATGAACAGTGTACAGTAACATATAAGCTAATTTTTGTCTCTCTCTCTCTCTGTGTCTGTCAGTGTTCAGCGGCCCGCGGTTTTCTCAGGAGCCGGCGGATCAGTCTGTGGTGGTCGGGGAGAGAGTAGTTTTGTCCTGCGTGGTGTTTAACTACACCGGCATTGTACAATGGACCAAAGACGGGCTACCAAATCAACATATTAGTTATTTTTGAAGGATCATGCGACACTAAAGACTGGAGTAATGATGCTGAAAATTCAGCTTTGCCGTCAAAGGAATAAATTACACTTTAAAATATATTGAAATAGAAAATAGTTATTTTAAATTGTAATTTCACAATATTACTGTGTATTTTTTTTTATTTTTTTTTTTACAAATGTTCATGTCTTCAAATGAACGAATTTAGATATTTTTAAATATTTAAATCTAAATTGTTCCTTTCTAGACTTGGGTTAGAAGTACTTAACAAAAATGTATGGCACACCAAAGAAAATCCTCATAAAAGTGGGAAAAAACTACAGTGTCCCATGAACAGTGTACAGTAACATATAAGCTAATTTTTGTCTCTCTCTCTCTGTGTCTGTCAGTGTTCAGCGGCCCGCGGTTTTCTCAGGAGCCGGCGGATCAGTCTGTGGTGGTCGGGGAGAGAGTAGTTTTGTCCTGCGTGGTGTTTAACTACACCGGCATTGTACAATGGACCAAAGACGGGCTCGCTCTTGGCATCGGAGAAGATCTGAGGGGTGAGCGCACACACACATCAGATCACACTAACCGAAAGCGTCATGCACCTTTTTTAGAGGGGAAATGAGTGACAGTATGAGCTCAATAAGAGCTCTAGGTGAGATAAGACAAGACCAAAGAAAAAAAAAAACTTTAATTGCAGGACAGGAAAGTTTAGCAGTACAAATTTGGTTAAGCATTAAAGGGCACATGGTTTTAAATGAATAAACCAAGAAAAATTGCAACTGCGTCAGTCAGCGATCACCATGCATTTTAGTTGTATCTAGTCATACTAGTTTGGAGTGACACGAGGATGACTGGATTTCAGTATAAAACAAATTACTGACTAGATATGTGAATGCGTGTTTTAGATAAACACCGTCTTTTCTTACACAAATTGTGCAACCTAATTTTCAATGATACAAGTTCTTTTGGAATTTGGCTCAGAAATCTGGCAAGCCTCATGCCTTTATGTATGTCTATACAACATATATGTTGCAATGCAACATACAGTACAACATAAGATTTCTCCCTCTCCTCCATTTAAAATGATGCAACAGACATATTTTTTTCCTTTCATTGTCCAGACATTGCCGTTTTCTTTCTTTGTCCTCTGTCTCGCTCTCTCTCTTTCCCTTTTTTTTGGACGTGTTGCTCTTTTGTCCGCTCTAATCACAGACACGTACACATATAGATGTGCAAACACGCGCACAGGTTAAGCGTCTGCTTGCTGATTGGTTGAGCTAAAGGATGATGTAATCGTTGCCAATACTTTTGTCCTCTTGGTATCCAGATCGATGATGTCATAATGTGTGTGCTAGAGAGAGTGTGCAGTCTGAATGCCAATGTGTTGGAGTGCTGCCCTCTGGTGCCAAACGCATGTCCTACAATCCACCACATTATCACACTGATTAGCTAAACTGGCTGTATGAACTATGGTTTGGGTTTTATAATTCAAAGATCACTGGAGCTTTAATAAATTTACAAAGAATATGTATTTGTTTGAGCTGTATGTTTATCGTGAGGGGAAATCCATGGAATAGGGACAGTCATGCAAAATAGTCAAGGCAAAATAAAAATGAATTCTGACTGTACATACAAGCTATGCTGGGGCTTTTGCAGCACAGTATTATCTCATCTGAAATGATAAGTGCATGAAACATTTTACTGTGTTAAAGTGTGGTTGTGTGTGTGTGTGTTTCAGCATGGCCACGGTACCGTGTTTTGCGTATTTTGGATGTTGGGCAGTATAACCTAGAGATCACATCAGCAGACCTGACCGATGACTCACTGTACGAGTGTCAGGCCACTGAAGCTGCTCTGAGGTCCAGAAGAGCTAAACTCACTGTTCTGAGTGAGTACACACTGAATATGATCAGAGTAGCATACTGCCATTATAGTGTTATTTACAGTATGTAAATGTAATGTAAGAAGTATGCACTTATTTTGCATGAAATTCTTGTGCTTTTCAGTAAACAACAACACACTGTGTGGAACACTGTATCCCACAATGCAATACACTGCACTTAAGTTTCCATTTCCAGTGTGATGAAAGCACCTAAAGCAATATGAATCATGTTTAACATTTCATTATTTGCAGAAAATTGAATACAAAAGTCAGTTATTTTTATATCTGAGATTGTTGCTGTGACAAGGTTGTAATATACTACTTTTTGAAATGTTCATTGGCACATAATCTTCACAAATCATTTTTTAAAAGTATGCAGTATGCACTGCAGTATGCACTGTGCAGTCCAAACATAGCCACCAACACACAAGAAGTCTCTTTCTAAAGAATACATTCTGCTTTCTTTATTTAACTTGTTTTGTAGGGACACTAAAAGCAGCTCCAGAGATGCCGTACTTCTGCCTCGGAGCAATTTAACTATTTACATCTCTTTTTTTTATGTGAATCTATTCTGGCATGATATACAAAAGTGTGCATTGCCATCATTACATTACATAGCCTTCATTGAAAAATCAAATCACTAACACAAGTTACATCACTACATACACAAGTGAAACAATGCAGTAATAAACTTTCCACACATACACTACCATTCAAAAGATTGGGTTTGGAAAGATTTTTTAAAATGTTTTTAAAATGATACTTATCAAGGCTGCACTTTTTAGTTCAAAAATATTGTGAAATATTATAACAATTTAAAATAACAGTTTTCTATTTTAATGTATTTTAAAATTGTATTTATTCCTGATGGAAAAAGCTGAATTTTCAGCATCATTACTCCAGTCTTTAGTGTCACCTGATTCTTCAGAAATCATTCTAATATGATAATTTGATGCTCAAGAAACATTATTATTATTATTATTATTATTATCAATGTTGAAAACAGTTGTGCTACTTAATATTTCTGTAGAAACTGTTTTTTCATGATTCTTTGATGAATAGAAAGTTTAAAAGAACAGCATTTGTTTGAAATTTATTTTTTACATTATAAATGTTTGCTATCACTTTTAATCAGTTTAATGCATAAAAACATATTCTTTTAAAATCTTACTGGCCCCAAACTTTTGAACAATAGTGTGTAGTACACAATATTCACAAGGAAACAAAATACCATATATGTGTCAGTATTTATAGATGTAACCTGAGTGCACAGTGTGTAAGTCACTTTCAGCATATTATCTGTCTATCTGTGTAGTTCCTCCTGAAGGTCCTGTTATCGAGGGCTCTCCAGAGATCCTGCTGACAGCAGGAACCTCATATAACCTCACCTGTGTGTCTCGAGGAGCAAAGCCACTGTCAACGATAGAATGGTACAAAGATGGGATCATAGTGGAGGGACCCCATACCAGCACTGTGAGTGAGCACACAAACAAATGAAGATAGCATGAAAATCACATATATGAGAACAGACGGTATCTATCTATCTATCTATCTCTATCTATCTATCTATCTATCTATCTATCTATCTATCTATCAGGAGGTGTTAGCCGACAGGAAGAGGGTGACCACAAAGAGTTTTCTGGAGATCCAGCCAGTGGACACAGATACAGGACGAAATTTCACCTGTGTGGCCTCAAACCTGGCCGCCCCGCTGGGAAAGAGGGCCACTATTACTCTCAACATCCACCGTAAGTGTTTGTACACCTACTTTGCTGTGCTGGCATACTGTATATCCACAAGAAGGGCCCTAATGACCTCTCAATCTCTCTCCAGATCCTCCTACAGTCATCCTGTCTATAGAACCTCGCTCAGTTCTAGAAGGAGAGCGAGTTCAATTTACCTGCCAGGCCACTGCCAACCCTCCCATTATGGGCTACAGGTTAGTGTGTAGTGTGGGTGTATATGCTGATCGCAGTGATGTGCTCTCTCTGTTTTACATACGCACAGTGTTTGTGTTGCAGTGTTATTTTTGATCGTTGAAATCATTGTCATTTTGTTGTGTTTTTGCCATTTTTATTTATTTATTCATTTTTAAATATGCATATATAGTTTTTATTCATTTGTATTCACGTTTTGGTTTTAGTTATTTTAGTACCTCAAGAAAATTAGAAATGTTGTCTTGGCTAATAGCTGAAATACAATAAGTTCAAGTTTTTTATATTTTATTTCAGTTAAAGGGGTCATATGATGTTGCTAAAAGTAACATTATTTTGTGTATTTGGTGTAATGAAATGTGTTTATGCCCCCATACCAGCACTGTGAGTGAGCACACAAACAAATGAAGATAGCATGAAAATCACATATATGAGAACAGACGGTATCTATCTATCTATCTATCTATCTATTTATATCTATCTATCTATCTATCTATCTATATCTATCAGGAGGTGTTAGCCGACAGGAAGAGGGTGACCACAAAGAGTTTTCTGGAGATCCAGCCAGTGGACACAGACACAGGACGAAATTTCACCTGTGTGGCCTCAAACCTGGCCGCCCCGCTGGGAAAGAGGGCCACTATTACTCTCAACATCCACCGTAAGTGTTTGTACACCTACTTTGCTGTGCTGGCATACTGTATATCCACAAGAAGGGCCCTAATGACCTCTCAATCTCTCTCCAGATCCTCCTACAGTCATCCTGTCTATAGAACCTCGCTCAGTTCTAGAAGGAGAGCGAGTTCAATTTACCTGCCAGGCCACTGCCAACCCTCCCATTATGGGCTACAGGTTAGTGTGTAGTGTGGGTGTATATGCTGATCGCAGTGATGTGATCTCTCTCTGTTTTACATTTGCACAGTGTTTGTGTTGCAGTGTTATTTTTGATCGTTGAAATCATTGTCATTTTGTTGTGTTTTTGCCATTTTTATTTATTTATTTATTCATTTTTAAATATGTAAATATAGTTTTTATTAATTTGTATTCACGTTTTGGTTTTAGTTATTTTAGTACCTCGAGAAAATTAGAAATGTTGTCTTGGCTAATAGCTGAAATACAGTCAAGTTCAAGTTCTTTATATTTTATTTCAGTTAAAGGGGTCATATGATGTTGCTAAAAAGAACATTATTTTGTGTATTTGGTGTAATGAAATGTGTTTATGCGGTTTAAGGTTCAAAAGGTCCTCCTCTATGCCCCGCCTTTCTAAAACGCGTCGATTTTTACAAAGCTCATCGGTCTGAAAAGCGAGGTATTGTTTTAGTAAATTATAATAACCTTGTTGTCTTCTTTTTCTCTCTCATGTAGTTGGTCCAATTTTGGTGGTGGAGCCGAGACCTGTAACAGTGGACGTTGACTCTGATGTCACACTCAACTGTAAATGGTCAGGCAATCCTCCGCTCACCCTCACATGGACCAAGAAGGGCTCCAGTATGGTTAGTGCACACTAGATAATGCTTCCTACACCCTACAAAGTGCACTTACCTCTAACACACATGCAGTAAAACTTAGTATTAACAAATAAAATAAATGTATGGTGTATAAAAATAAAATAAATATAAAATAAATCAATATAATAAATACAAATAATAAAAATAAAAATAGTAGTATTAAAATAGTAAAAAAGAAAACAAATATTAACAGATAAAATCATTAAAAAAATTAATAACTGCAAAAAGGTAACGAAGAATAGTGAAAATAGAGGGAACAAATTGTAGTATTAACAAAGAAAAAAAGGAATGGTTTATAAAATAAAATAAAACAACAGCTCAATAAAATAAAATAGAATAAAATGATTAATATAAAACAAATAGTAATATTAACTAATACAATATTAGTAATATTAACAATATATTTTGTTAATTTACATTTTTAAATGATAAAATAATGGCAAAAACGTAAAGTAAGTGAAAATAGGAGCAACTATAGTATTAACAATGGGAATGGTTTCAAAGGAATGAATTATAAAAGAAAACTTAAATTAAAAAAAAAAAATATATATATATATATATATATAATAAAACAACCAATAAAATAACAGTGTGAAAAAGTGAATAGCAGTATTAAAAATAGTAAACAAATTGTAATATTAACAAATACAATACTAGTTTCTAAATTATCAATTAAAATAACAGCCAAAAAGTAAAGCAAGAATAGTGAAAATAGAGGGAAAAAGTAATAATAAAAAATAAAGTAAAAAAAAGTGAATCATTATAAATAAATAAACAGTCCACAAACTTAAAATGGAATGAGCTATTGGAGTAATATTTAAGCACGTTATTAAAGGGAATAAAAATGAAATTAAAATTAGATTTGCCCATAATAGTACTATTATGCATGAGTTTAGTAATAGAGACTCACACTCCTCTGTTGCTCTCTTTCTCTGCCTGATGGCTCACTGGATAATGAGACATGACACAACAGGACTGGCCTTAATGTGAAGATGGTACTTATGAGATAATGAATAATGGAATAAATGAGGAAAGAAAGTGGAGGAGAGGAAAGGAGAGTGGGCCACAAGCTTTTTGTTCCTCATCCTCTCGTCCTTCCTGTTGCGCCCCCCGCTCTCTCTGTCACTCTGTTGTCAGTTTGAGAGGGACATTAGCGCTGTGAATATTTGATGGAGTGTTGTTCATTTTTTATGAACTATCTGCTCTCCCACAGTTCAGAGCAAAATCCTGAAAGGGCTGCAACGCCTGTGAACCCCTGCCAGTGTGTGTATTTACTAATGTGTGTGTGTGTGTGTGTGTGAATGCATACATGTTTTTCTGCAGGTTTGGGCCTGGAAGGAGAACGTGTGGGAAAAAGAGAGTGGAACGCTGTTGGAGAGGTACACAGTGGAGCAGAGCCGACCTGCGTCACAAGGGGGTGCCGTTCTGTCCACTCTCACCATCAATAATGTCATGGAGTCTGACTTCCAGTCCACCTACAACTGCACGGCATGGAACGCCTTTGGACCAGGAACCATGATCATCACTCTGGAGGAGACAGGTCAGGAAAAAACACTCTGGTAGAATAGTGTCTATAGACCTGTCTTATTGTCTCCCACTGTCTCTTTCTTAGGTATAATGTCTGTAGGTATAATTCTCTCTTTCTCTCTCAGATATAGAGCATTCATACTTTCATAGGTCTATTTTAGATATGTAACACCTCTCTCTCTTTCTTGCTCTCAGATATAGCATCTGTAGGTATAATACCTGTCTGTCTCTCTCACAGATATAGTGTAATGTTTAGGTACAGTGTAGTGCGTAGGTGTCTTTCTCTCAGATGTATAATGGCTGTAGATATTATACCGGTCTCTCTGTCAGATATATTACCTGTAGGTGTCATTCTTTCAGATATATAACGGCTATAGATATAATACCTGTATCTCTCTCAAATATCATGTCCGTAGGTGTCTTTCTTTGAGAAACATAATGCCTGTAGATTTCATTCCTGTCTTTCTCTCTCATTCTCTCAGATATATAACACCTATAGATAACACCTGTCGTTCTCTCAGATGTAGTGTTCATAGGTGTCTTTATCACATTTATATAAAGCCTGTAGATATAATTCTTGTCTCTCTCAGATATAGTGTAGGTGACTTTCTCTTAGATAAACTGCCTATAAATGGTCTCTCTCTCTTATGTATATATATTGTCTGCAGGTGTCTTTATCTACAATGCCTGTAGATATGAGACCTGTCTCTCTCACACTTAGAAATAGTATCTGTAGTTATAATAATTGTTGCTCTCTCTCTCAGATGTAGTGTATTTAGGTGTCTTTCTCTCAAATATAACACCAACATATAATACCTCTCTCTCTTTCTCAAATTTAGCATCTCTAGATATTATGCTTGTCTCTCTCTCATATATATATATATATAGAATTTATAGGTGTTTTACCTGTCTTTCCCTCTCAGATGTAGCGTTCATTGGTCTCTCTCTCTCACATAGTATCTGTAGGTATTATGCCTGTCTCTCTCATTTGTATAGTATCTCTCTCAGATATAGTGGCTAGATATTATATCTGTCTTAGATATAATATCTATTTGATTGACACATAGCTTTCATAGGCATTATACATGTCTCTCTGTCTCTTATATAATAGCTGTAGATTAATACCCGTCTCTCTCAGATATCTCATTCCTATCTATAATACCTGTCTGTCTCTCTCTCAGATGTAGTACCTGTAGATATTATACTGTCTGTCTTTGACTTAGACATAGCATCTGTAGGTAATATAAACGTGTGTTTCATGCCTGTCTCTCTCTGTCTGTCTGAAGTATAGTGTCTGTAAATGTATGGCTTTGTCTCTCTTTTAGATATAGTGCCTGTAGGTGTGATAGCAGGTGGATCTGTTGGATCTTCCATTTTGCTTCTGCTTCTCCTGTTTGCTCTGATATTCTATCTGTATCGACAGCGCAAAGGCAGTGAGTACACTGTGTATGTGTGGCTCTGTGTGTGTGCATCTGTGTTTCATGTTCATTTGCTTGTGATGAATTTCTAAGAAAATAAATATACATTTGTATTAAAAGACAATGCTCTGAAAGTGTAAAAAGTGTAAAATGCTTGATTATGGTTTGGTGCCCCCGTGTGGCTACAAGACAGAAAAGAAGAAAAAGCATGTCTAAAACATCTAAATCATATTTTACCACAATATATGTTGCTTATTTATTCATTTCAGTAATAATTATATTTTTTAGAGCTACTATTAAAATTTTTGTTAATACTCTTCCCTCACCAATTGTGTGAAATGAAAATAATTTGTATTTTAATTGTAATGCATTTATATTTACAAAAATAGTTAATATGCTTCTTTTAATTAATGCTAAATTGGTAAACTTAACAGAAACAGAAGAAAATTCTCAGCAGGTTTTACCATTTACGCAAAAACAGTTTTATGCTTCTTTTTTTTGTCATTGAAACTTTGACGTCAGCTAAAGGCAATGCAAAATATCCATTTCAATGAGTTCAATGAGATACATGCTAAAGATTTATGTGCCCTACCTTTTTATGGAACAGCCTGCTCACACAAAGGTCGTAGGTTCAGTCTGTAACAATAAAATTAGAGAAATCATAATCTTGCTTTCAGACCAATGCCTATAAACTGCTATGATTTAATGGAACCATTAAATAATTTAATTGATTAAAATCAATTTGAGTCAGTGATCTATTATGCTTGCAGGTCGTCGTGGAGTCACATTGAAGCCAGACATTAAGGTGGAAACGGTCAACAAGGAAACTCACAGTCTTGAGGAAGAGGCTGCTGGCGCCTCCACAGCTACACGAATGGTAAAGGCTATGTATTCTGTGAGTATCTATAGCATAAATTCGACTGTCAGGCTGTCTGATATAACATTCATAAATATATGGTCAGACATGATATTTTGTTATCATAAAAAATAAAGAAATAAAGACTATACTAGGGGCATCTTGCACTTAAGTCTGTCATGTTAGAGTTAGAGTGGTTAAAGTCTGTTGTGTTAGAGTGGTTAGTTTGCATGTTTTAACCTAACCAACTACAGAGAAGTGTGACGAGAAATTTTGTTGGGCATTTGGTTTCTCCGTAAAGAGCACTGCAGTTCAAATGTTTGGGGTCGGTATGGTTTTTTTAATGTTTTTGAAAGAAGTATATTATGCTCACAAAGGCTGCATATATTTGACTAAACATACAGCAAAATAATAATATTATATTATATTATTGAAAAATATTTTAAAATGTAATTCTTGTAATAGATCATTACTCCGGTCTTTAGTGTCACAAGATCCTCATGAAATCATTCTAATATGCTGATTTGGTGCTCAAAAAAAATCTTATTATTATCAATGTAGAAAGCAGTTGTGCTGTGTAATATTTTGGGGAAACCATATTTTTCAGGATTATTTGATGAATAGAAATGTCAGAAGAACAGCATTTATTTGAAATAGAAAGCTTTTATTCTTGTGATCAATTTAATGGCTCCTTGCTGAATAAAGGTTTCTTTATTTATTTTCATTTATTCATTTTCATTTCTTTTAAAAGAAAATCTCACTGATCCTGAACTTTTGAATGGTAGTGTAGCAGTATGAAATATCGAACATATTGTGATTGTTGTGAATCGTGCTGCATTTTTGCTTTCAGTGTAAACAGAAAAATGACTTGTTGCTGGAAGCATCTGGTGTTTTTTGAATATGGTTCAACTGCTCTATAAAATCCCGACAGTCACATTATCTAGTCCAGCTTTGGCAGCAAACGCAGGATTTGGTACATTTTTAGTTAAACTAAATCATTTATATGAACTTTTAGTCTGACTGAAATCAAACTATTAAAGTGCATGTAAACATACTTAGTGAGTTTAGGAGCAGCCAGTTTTAGTGCTTTTCAAAATGGGCCATTTCTGCTTAATTTTATCCATAACATTTAAAGAATTCAAGAAAGATATTGTTGAATATATAAATCTGTAAATAAAAAGTTTCTAATGGTGAAAGACTTTCTTTCCACCACAAACTATAGAACATCTATTCTTCACCAATTCTGATAAAGCTGATATCCTGTTTTCCTCCCTCTCTCTCCTTCTCTCTTCCTCCCTCTCTCTGTGTGTGTGTTTTGTCGTTTGATGGTTTAGTTTCTTCCCTCTGTCTCCCTCTCTCCCTCCACCCAGTGTCCGTAGGTGTCTTTCTTTGAGAAATGTAATCTATGCCTGTAGATTTAATTCCTGTCTTTCTCTCTCATTCTCTCAGATATATAACACCTATAGATAACACCTGTCGTTCTCTCAGATGTAGTGTTCATAGGTGTCTTTATCACATTTATATAAAGCCTGTAGATATAATTCTTGTCTCTCTCAGATATAGTGTAGGTGACTTTCTCTTAGATAAACTGCCTATAAATGGTCTCTCTCTCTTATGTATATATATTGTCTGCAGGTGTCTTTATCTACAATGCCTGTAGATATGAGACCTGTCTCTCTCACACTTAGAAATAGTATCTGTAGTTATAATAATTGTTGCTCTCTCTCTCTCAGATGTAGTGTATTTAGGTGTCTTTCTCTCAAATATAACACCAACATATAATACCTCTCTCTCTTTCTCAAATTTAGCATCTCTAGATATTATGCTTGTCTCTCTCTCATATATATATATATATAGAATTTATAGGTGTTTTACCTGTCTTTCCCTCTCAGATGTAGCGTTCATTGGTCTCTCTCTCTCACATAGTATCTGTAGGTATTATGCCTGTCTCTCTCATTTGTATAGTATCTCTCTCAGATATAGTGGCTAGATATTATATCTGTCTTAGATATAATATCTATTTGATTGACACATAGCTTTCATAGGCATTATACATGTCTCTCTGTCTCTTATATAATAGCTGTAGATTAATACCCGTCTCTCTCAGATATCTCATTCCTATCTATAATACCTGTCTGTCTCTCTCTCAGATGTAGTACCTGTAGATATTATACTGTCTGTCTTTGACTTAGACATAGCATCTGTAGGTAATATAAACGTGTGTTTCATGCCTGTCTCTCTCTGTCTGTCTGAAGTATAGTGTCTGTAAATGTATGGCTTTGTCTCTCTTTTAGATATAGTGCCTGTAGGTGTGATAGCAGGTGGATCTGTTGGATCTTCCATTTTGCTTCTGCTTCTCCTGTTTGCTCTGATATTCTATCTGTATCGACAGCGCAAAGGCAGTGAGTACACTGTGTATGTGTGGCTCTGTGTGTGTGCATCTGTGTTTCATGTTCATTTGCTTGTGATGAATTTCTAAGAAAATAAATATACATTTGTATTAAAAGACAATGCTCTGAAAGTGTAAAAAGTGTAAAATGCTTGATTATGGTTTGGTGCCCCCGTGTGGCTACAAGACAGAAAAGAAGAAAAAGCATGTCTAAAACATCTAAATCATATTTTACCACAATATATGTTGCTTATTTATTCATTTCAGTAATAATTATATTTTTTAGAGCTACTATTAAAATTTTTGTTAATACTCTTCCCTCACCAATTGTGTGAAATGAAAATAATTTGTATTTTAATTGTAATGCATTTATATTTACAAAAATAGTTAATATGCTTCTTTTAATTAATGCTAAATTGGTAAACTTAACAGAAACAGAAGAAAATTCTCAGCAGGTTTTACCATTTACGCAAAAACAGTTTTATGCTTCTTTTTTTTGTCATTGAAACTTTGACGTCAGCTAAAGGCAATGCAAAATATCCATTTCAATGAGTTCAATGAGATACATGCTAAAGATTTATGTGCCCTACCTTTTTATGGAACAGCCTGCTCACACAAAGGTCGTAGGTTCAGTCTGTAACAATAAAATTAGAGAAATCATAATCTTGCTTTCAGACCAATGCCTATAAACTGCTATGATTTAATGGAACCATTAAATAATTTAATTGATTAAAATCAATTTGAGTCAGTGATCTATTATGCTTGCAGGTCGTCGTGGAGTCACATTGAAGCCAGACATTAAGGTGGAAACGGTCAACAAGGAAACTCACAGTCTTGAGGAAGAGGCTGCTGGCGCCTCCACAGCTACACGAATGGTAAAGGCTATGTATTCTGTGAGTATCTATAGCATAAATTCGACTGTCAGGCTGTCTGATATAACATTCATAAATATATGGTCAGACATGATATTTTGTTATCATAAAAAATAAAGAAATAAAGACTATACTAGGGGCATCTTGCACTTAAGTCTGTCATGTTAGAGTTAGAGTGGTTAAAGTCTGTTGTGTTAGAGTGGTTAGTTTGCATGTTTTAACCTAACCAACTACAGAGAAGTGTGACGAGAAATTTTGTTGGGCATTTGGTTTCTCCGTAAAGAGCACTGCAGTTCAAATGTTTGGGGTCGGTATGGTTTTTTTAATGTTTTTGAAAGAAGTATATTATGCTCACAAAGGCTGCATATATTTGACTAAACATACAGCAAAATAATAATATTATATTATATTATTGAAAAATATTTTAAAATGTAATTCTTGTAATAGATCATTACTCCGGTCTTTAGTGTCACAAGATCCTCATGAAATCATTCTAATATGCTGATTTGGTGCTCAAAAAAAATCTTATTATTATCAATGTAGAAAGCAGTTGTGCTGTGTAATATTTTGGGGAAACCATATTTTTCAGGATTATTTGATGAATAGAAATGTCAGAAGAACAGCATTTATTTGAAATAGAAAGCTTTTATTCTTGTGATCAATTTAATGGCTCCTTGCTGAATAAAGGTTTCTTTATTTATTTTCATTTATTCATTTTCATTTCTTTTAAAAGAAAATCTCACTGATCCTGAACTTTTGAATGGTAGTGTAGCAGTATGAAATATCGAACATATTGTGATTGTTGTGAATCGTGCTGCATTTTTGCTTTCAGTGTAAACAGAAAAATGACTTGTTGCTGGAAGCATCTGGTGTTTTTTGAATATGGTTCAACTGCTCTATAAAATCTCTACAGTCACATTATCTAGTCCAGCTTTGGCAGCAAACGCAGGATTTGGTACATTTTTAGTTAAACTAAATCATTTATATGAACTTTTAGTCTGACTGAAATCAAACTATTAAAGTGCATGTAAACATACTTAGTGAGTTTAGGAGCAGCCAGTTTTAGTGCTTTTCAAAATGGGCCATTTCTGCTTAATTTTATCCATAACATTTAAAGAATTCAAGAAAGATATTGTTGAATATATAAATCTGTAAATAAAAAGTTTCTAATGGTGAAAGACTTTCTTTCCACCACAAACTATAGAACATCTATTCTTCACCAATTCTGATAAAGCTGATATCCTGTTTTCCTCCCTCTCTCTCTTTCTCTCTTCCTCCCTCTCTCTGTGTGTGTGTTTTGTCGTTTGATGGTTTAGTTTCTTCCCTCTGTCTCCCTCTCTCCCTCCACCCAGCCCTTCAAAGATGACATGGACCTGAAGCAGGACCTCCAGAGCGACACGGTGGAGCCCAAGGTGGAGGAGTATGAGCCCAAGGTAAGAAACCGCGCAGGTTCATATAGACATCAATGCTATACTTAAAGGAGAAGTGTACAATTGTTTTGGAATTCCTGTTTACTGTTAGTTTGTTTAATAAGTAGGTTGATTGCCACTAAAAGTGTAAAAAAAATACTGTGGCACCATCAAAACATTTCACTGTTTGAGACCCCAACCAGCCTCACGCAGTAACATTGGCTCAACCAATGCTGTGAGTTTGGGGCGGGGTTATCTATTTGCCTGACCAATAGCAAACAGGAGGAGTGTTCTTGAAGGCTGTCCTTATTTCTCCAATCCTGTTTGCTGATGCTGGTGGTGCCGAAATTACACACTTTACCTTTAATGTTTGACACAGACAGAGGAAGTATTATAGCTATGGTCCAACATTTTTATGGGGTTGTTTTTCTAAAATATACATTTTTGAATAGTTTTTCCCAGAAGTTTGGTGTCAGTTAAAGAATACTGAACAAAATGTATTACAGTTTCCACAAAAATATTAAGAAGCACTACAGTTTTCAACATAATAATAATAATCAACATGATGATAATATGAAATGTTTCTGGAGCATAAATTCAGCATATTGGAATGATTTTTGAATGGTCATGTGATTACTGAACACTGAAGTAAAAATAATAAATAACATTTTTAAATATATTAAAATAGAAAACAGTTTTTTTTAATGTAAAATTTAAATGTAAGTTTTTTAATTAAAATACTGTTTTACTGTATTTTTGATTAAATAAGTGATCACCAAAACAGAAAACATTTTCTTATCAAAATCTTTCAAATCTTACCAACCGCACACTTTTTAACGATAGTGTGTGCAAAGTAAAACACACAGATGTTCACACACTCCTATACAGTGCCTATAAACCAGGACTAAATGTGTGGTCACATTAGTGAAATTTCAGCAAAACATGACCAACTTGTGTGATGACTCACACAAAACTCTCAATTTTGCAGATTCCTATTGCAAAGGCTGAGTTTAACCCATGAAATTGAGCAGTGTTAATTGTGAAATATTATATATTTGTCATTTCAGGACCCCACCAACGGCTACTACAATGTTCGAGCTACGACACATGACGAGGTCCGCACCTCTACCCGCTCCCTGCTGTACCAGGAATTTCGGCCACCGAATCCCGCTTCAGTTTTGGCAACAGCCGGCGGCCCAGTGGCCAACATTCACCCGGCACCCACAGGCCGTTACGAGCCCCGGCCTGCTTCCCGAATGGCTCACAACACATACGCCCATTTTAACACCATTGCCAGGGCATCGCAAATCCAAGCCCCACCCAAGCCTGTCTCCAAGCCCACAGACTATTCTGGAGAACGTGGCCTGCTGGAATCAACCAATCCGCTGGCTTTTGACAGCTACGCTTATTCAACGACACCTCAATACAGGTTAGGCTTCGCCCCACCTTTGGAGGCAGGACCAGCCTATGAAATGTATCCTACGGGACAAGGGGTGGGGACGAGTCAAGATGCTAATGCAGGAAAATACCCCAGCTCTCCCCAATTTCCATATTCAACCCCGCCCACAGAATACTCTCAGAGACACACGCAGAGAATGCAGACTCATGTGTGAAACAGACACACTTGCCAACAAAAAAACACTTCCGTGGATGAAAATATATGGTACACACTCATTTTTACACACTCTTACAGTCTGAAACTTTCTCTCCAACACAACTATATGCAAACACACACACACACATTGCGTTTTCTTCCTTTACAACAATATGATTGAGAGAAAAAAGTGCCAAATTAATAAATGACTGCAGCAGAAGAGGAAATCACAAGAGGTCACAGCGATGAGTGGAGAGAAAGCATGTAAACCTTATCATCTTTCCCTCTTCTTTCCTAATTTGAAGAAGATGGGTTGATGTGGTAAAACCAATCCTCTAAAATCTCTGCACCAAAATGAGACACTGCAAAGCAGCCATTGGACGGATTTCTCCATGTGAATTGTATTGGCTGAAAGAATGGCCAATAGAAGGCTGGAGGGCACCAGAAGCCATCAACTATTGGATGTAAAGCCCAGTGAAAGCCTGATCGCTATGCACTGGAGTTTACACTGGACCTGTTTAGATCTGTCCCATCAATCAACCTAATAAAATATGATGCGTTTTAAATTATGGGAATTGTGGGTGGGCTCACACTGATTGTGTAATCCACAATGTGATATTGCAGAACAAGTCAGCAAGTTGAAGAATACTGCAGGTGTCGACAATCACTTGTGAATAACTCATCGTACGGCCCGCTCACATCACCACTGCTCACACTGCCCGAGCTCCTCGTAGGAATAGCTGTCCGCTGCCAGTTTGAACTCTTCTGATAGGACGGAGACGTGAGTATCTGGGTAAACGCCACCAGTGCTTTTAACTCTGAAAGCTGGAGTTTATGTAACATTTTAGGATTTTTAGTGTCAAAGTGAGCTTACAAACTCTTCTCTGAACACACGCTCTGCCTCCTTCCAAGAAAACCTCATGAGTATTAGACGCTTTGTGTTTCTATGTGTGTGTGAGAGTGTGTGCTTGCTGATGTGGAGGAAATAACTGAATGTGATCAATCTCTTTCTCTAAAGTGTCCATGTATTTGTCCTTCACACTTTCAAAGTAGAGTAGAGTGCTTTTCCATATTTGTATCTGAACTAAATTGCATTTGAAAGCGCATTAATAGTATTTTTCTAAGATGGTGGTAAGGGATCAGAGATGGAATGGTTTTTGGTATAAGCAATGTAAAGGAGAAAATTGTTTTAAAATATTTTTTGTTTATGATTTGTACACGTTTCTAAATTCTGTAAAGGGATGTTGAATCGGATCACAAGAGCAAAGTTTCATTCAAGTCCTGGGTTTCAGTAAAGTATTTTTATGCAAAATAAAGAAGGGCTTTTATTATGAGCTCAAACCCTTTCTGGTCTGCAGAAAAGCTCAATTTGTGCAGAAAATGTTTCTGCTCGAGTTTAAATCTGGTTTCTGCTGAAATTTGCATGACCTTTGGCCTATACTAAAAGTTTGAACATTCAAAATATGCAATGATCAATACATTTTGGTTCAACAAATTAGCAGCCTTAATCAGGTTTGTCAATTTTTTAAATAAAGCAGAATTTTTACAGTGAATTGGAGCCTCTCTGTTAAAGTTTGCACAAAATGGGGTTTCTTATTTGGTACCTTTATGTATGACAAGAGGACAATGAATTTGATGAATCAAATTCACATATCAGAGACAGAAAGATGAGGGAGTGAATGTGCAATACTGTGTTTATATTGTGTGAATGTGAGAGCATGTTTCAGTGTGACTCTTGAGATCCATTTCCTCATGGTCGTGTTAAAAAAAAGACCTGTACTTCATATTGTGTTTATGGTTATCTTCGTTTTAATCATCTGTTAAAATGTAAAATACAAAAGAAAAATATGACCCATGTGCTTTTTCCCCACAGCAACTTTTACTATGGTTCTTTTTCAATTGTATGTGGTTATTTTTCCACAGTATTATAAAATAAAAAACATCTTTCATAGTGACTCATTATCATACAGTTACAACATCATACAGTACATACCTCATATAAAAAAAATACATTGACACAATTGACATATATACAGTGGGGACCAAAAATAGAATATGGGGATTACAATCTCATTTAAATCTGGGTATACATTATAACATTTAGAAAATTACAACTTATTAAAAGTTATTACACAAATGAAGGAATATCACAAATTTGTACAGCCCGTCAGATGTTTTTGCTCAAGATATTCTTTGGATCATGCTGGAGAACATGAACAGCAGGAGTTAATGCCAGTAACACCTCAATTAGGAAAACAGAAACATCTGGATCTCTCGCTACAGCCAAGTACAGTAGATTAATGGTGAAACCATTGATGTGAAATCAAACCAGATGTGAAATCTATAAATCTTGAAATTGTGAACAGCTGAATGGTTTCAGATCTCCACCTTGTAAACGCCACCTAATTAATGTAATTAACATATAGAAGAGCACCAGTCAACATCCAAATCCTTTATTTGAGCAGTGGAAAGAATTCCTTAGATTTCCAAATACTTGCAGTACTCCAACTCTGCAACAATGTGTATGTCTGTTTGGAACCTGACATGGCAGTAAGCACTTTTCCACGTCAAAGACCGTTTTTATAATTCTGAGTGTGGATTTTACCATATGCACACTCCAAGATCAAATCCACGCATATGCACATTTTATAAATGAGGCCCCAGTTCATTTACTAGATCAGATTCGTTCTTCTTCAGCAGTCTGCAGAATTCTATTTTTGCATTATCTCCTTTAGACTCAAGAGCATTCAACAAGAGTCTCATTTTCTCCTGTCGTGTTTCTGCAACATGGATCTTACTCCACATTTCAGGAGTAATGATGTTTTTGCTCTTCAAACTGTCAGCAATCGCCATCACTGATGAAACTCTCTGAATGAGTTTATCTCCATGTGTGTTCACAAATTCAGTTTCTGATTGAAACAAAAGATGATTTCAGTTAGTCTTCAGAAGAGTGTACAGTATGTGTAAAACACAATTACAAGAATAAACATGTCATTAAAACATACCTGGGATCCTTCTGTGTGCAGGAGGTTCTACACCTTTACTTGGTGCTATTAACAATAAAAATGATAAAATAATTAAAAACAGACATTTGAGATTACTGAGAAATCTGACAAACATTTTAAAGTCCTTAAAATCTTTTGACGTCTCGTTCCTTGCAAGGAATGAACCACTATCTTTCCAGCCTTAAGCTATATTCTCTAGTCTAGGCCAAACCACCACACACCATAAAGATGAATAATGTCACATGTTTGGACTATTCATGCATATTAACAAAATTTCAATATAAAAATTATTCTATTTATGTAAGTTTATCTATTTATAAGTATTTTGTTTATCTATTTAATGTGATCACACTAATTGAGATCCTCATTGTTTTGTGCCCAATTAAAAAAAACAAAAAAAACTAACTTAATTATATATTTAAAGAAATATTGCATTGCTCCCTTAAATTGTTTTAGCATAGTTAGCTATGGCTACAGTTTTGTTAATCGTGTAGCTATTTTGAAGAATAATGCTACACTTTAAAAATAGCCTCCCCAACACTGTAGCCAAGGACATAGTAATGGTTTCTCACAGATTAGTGTCTGTAGATAAACTTAAATCTCTCCCAAACTTTCTCAGTTCTTTTACTCCTACATGAGTACCTGTAAGAGGGATTCGCCGTCTGGGCCACACTTCCTTCCCATCTTCAGTTTTGTCCAAAACAGCCAATCTGACCTCCTTGATGTTGACATCCAGAAACACTTCAAATGTGGGATGATAGTTTGGACCAAAATTGTCAAGCTGAAACATCTCCCTCTGAAAAAGAGTACACCAATATGAAGACAACATTATAAAGTGGTTAGTTCTGACTCTTCATTGAATATTGCTGCAAATATATATTTTATTTATTCAAATGTTTTAAATATATTAAATTCAAATGTTTTTATTTTGTTACCATTGGTTGCACTTCACAGTCCTCTGGCTGACAACACAGACTGTATTCTCTGTCAGTAAAAAGGCGACATTTTGAAGTTGTCTCTATGTATGATTTATTGTGGTGCAAACGCTGGACCTTGAGGAAAGACAAAAAAGGGGTGAATTTACATCAACATGTCACTATACAAAAGCAATAATAATGTATATATACAAATACGCTTAATGTGTTAGGGAAGCTTTGAAAGTTACAGGTTTTTATTTTATAATACTCAAAAAACAAAGGAACAATATGATCAGACTGCAGTACCTCTGTTACTGGAACATTCCCTGGAAGCAAGTGGACATTAAGTATTTTCTGTTCCTGTTCAACAGTTACTGGTCGAAGAAAGAGCAAAACTTGGCCATCAATGGGGAAGCCAAGTATCGTTTTAATCCAGATGAGCCCAAAACGGCTGAGTTCTCTGATGTCAATGATCACATGAGTTTCTGTCACTTTGAGTGGCTGTATTATTTCTATATTACCACCAGTGAAATGTGCTACAGCCAAACCATCCTTATCTTCCTCTGCAAAATACATTTAAGAATGTTGTTATCTGGAATAAAGGTATTGTTTTTCTAATTATACTGTGACTAACATTTCACATGAAGTGCTCTTTATGTAATCATTATGTACTCTCGTCACACTCCTTGCTAATTATTTACATATCTTCAATAGCTGCAGTTTCAAGAAATTTGAAATTTTAATTATAAATCACTTCAATAAATTCTGTGTAGTTGTTCAAGTCAACCACAGTGAAACATTAATATTTAGAATGTAGAAATAAACCTACCTGAGAATATCACACAGTGAGGAAGGTGCAGTCGCAAGACTGATTTTGCAGAACAGTCAATGTTGTACAAGGGTCCTGCAGGCCGCATCTGACCCAAACTATGTAACAGACCAGGGTCCCATGAGACCACGCTATACAGCACCTCTCCTTCACCCTCCATCACAAACACAAGACTGGTCAGACTGCAACGAAACCGACCAGCATGTGCACACACAAACCTGAAGGACAGGATATTAATGACACTTAAGTTACATAATTATTTTTTTTTATTATTCTATCATAACAATCTGCTTATATCCTAACAATGTCGAAAAAATAAAGTGTGCAATACCTGTGTGTATTCTTGAGTTTATCTTCATCACAGCTCAATTCTGGTGTGAACACTTCTAAATCTTCTAAAAACTGAAGTAAAGAAATAAATGAAGAATCTTTTAAATACAATTTTGGAGGATAACATATTTACTAACAGCTTGTGCCAGTGCAAACCCTTGTTTGGTGTTAAAAACTACTGTCAGGACGTACTACAGACACGTGGTAAATCAGCCAAGGAACTTTCCACTCCCATTGGCACTTTTTGGAATTGTGCTTTCACTCTAATTTACCCTATTTATGGCCCTAAATGTTTACATATTATATTTCTGTAAACATTCTGAATAATGGGATCTCAATCATTTATCATACACTGAAACCTCAATAGGGATGATAAAATATTGTCATACTGTACCACTATTTGTAGTAGAATGGTTTATAGCTTAAAATCATCTCCAGATTTATAATGATTTTAGTGAAGAAAAAGAAAGAAAGAAAGAAAGAAAAAGAGGGAGAAAAACTTAAAACTCCTCTCCATGACAGCTGCTACTCACGGAGTATGTTGATGATTCAGCTTTTAGCACAGAATCTGAACTCTCTCCCTCTGTCAGACAAAAAGAGCAAGGGAAGGAAATAACTGGGGTTATTAAATTTTTTTTAAATATTTTTTTAAGTATTTTTTTTACACATACTAAAAGTATATATTTACTCATGTGTTACATAAAACATTTCTGAGAAAAGAAAATCAGAAAAAGAGGGAGAAAAACTTAAAACTCCTCTCCATGACAGCTGCTACTCACGGAGTATGTTGATGATTCAGCTTTTAGCACAGAATCTGAACTCTCTCCCTCTGTCAGACAAAAAGAGCAAGGGAAGGAAATAACTGGGGTTATTAAATTTTTTTAAAATATTTTTTTAAGTATTTTTTTTACACATACTAAAAGTATATATTTACTCATGTGTTACATAAAACATTTCTGAGAAAAGAAAATCAGATCAGATGTTATTATATCACTGTCTGGTACATTACTATGAAATAAAGATGTGACTTAAAACAGCCACAAAGCTGATCTACTGTATGTGTCCACAAAGGTTGTTTGAAATCTCTCATTGGCTGAAATCACTGAAAGCAAAGCCATTGAATATTAAAATAAAAAAGCAAAACATTATCCTCTTTCATCAAATTTTAAACCTAGGTTTAAAAAAATGTGTGACTATATTATATACAATATTTTATTAATTTAAATTAATTATAATTGCATATAAGTGGACTTTACCCTCCATAAAATACTGTAATGTTTGGTTTATTCCCAGTCAAATTAATTATGTGGTACATTACATAATGAAGGCATAAATGTCTATCTAACATGTGTATAGCTCTTATGCAAGGGTCTTTATAATAATAAAAAAATCAATAATCTATTTGCTTACTTCCACTCTCACTCTTTTCCTGCTTTGTCTTCAGCTTCTCCTCTGTGAATCTTTCCATGTATGGCTTAAACAATGCTGAATTCCCCCAGCTAATGAGAAAAACATTTAAAACTTTAGTTTAGAACATACTTCAAAATTATTACTTTGTGTATATCTAATCTCCATAATGAACTTAAAGAAAAGGCTAAAGAAATATCTAATATCTTACACAGTCAGAGTCCAACCCATCTTCTCCAATGACGTCTTCTTTGACTGGAGTTCCTCCAACATGAAATGATCTCTGGCATTTATACTGAAAAAGATTTAAATAATTAACTACATTCATTCTAAAGCTATAAGAGCTTCTGGTTTACTGTGTTCAATGGCTGGGGAAAACCTATGATAATCAATATCGGTAATCAAGTGGAAAAAAAATCTATTCAGATATTTCAGCTGATACATGCAAACTCCACACAGAAAGGCCTTTACAATTTACAGTAAGATCATATTTGTTAACATTAGTTAACTACATTAACTCAAACTTACAATGAAAAATCTTTAAAAAGTTGTATTAATTAATAATTATTAATATCCTAAGTTGTATCATGTCTCTAAAATTGTGCTAACATTATTTAATGAACCTGAACTAACAAAGTACAGTTGTATATTTATTAGCTAACACAAACCAAGATTAGTTCATATTGTAACAGATGTATTGCTCATTGTTAGTTAATGCATTAAATAACCTGGAACCTTATATTTAAGTGTTACTATGGCATAAAATGTACTTAAATGGTCAGATATTACTGTTACCTGAGTTCAATCAAACTGGGACAGGCCTTAATGAGGGACACAATTTCTGAGGTAAATGGTTCAGTCAGACCTGAATCCTGCAGAAAGACTTTCTTCAAACCAGACACTGATTGCAGGAACGGCAACAGTCTAACTTCTTGTTGCCTAGAACGTCTAAACAACACAAAAAACCACACAAATGTGTAAATGTGTCACAAACCTTTAGATGCTTTTATTGTTTTTAAATAAAATGTAAAAGTTTTTTTTTTAAATAAATAAATTGAACTGATTATCACTAATAAACACCTAATACATTTACTGATCACGATCAAAGTGAAAATCATTTACTCACCCTCATTTTGCTGCAAACCTATAAGACTTCTGTTTATCTTCAAAACACTCATTTGTGTTTCAAAGATAAAAGAAAGTCTTCTGGGTTTGGAACAACATTTTTGGGTGAACTAATCCTTTGATTTTTGATGGCGAATGGCAACAGCATATGATAAAGCAATTCTTAAGGTGGTATATCAGAAAAAAAAGAAAGAACGAAAGCTTTCACTCACAAATATCCATAACTGAACAATGGCTGCGTGTTCTGTGATTTCACCCAGTTGATGGTGGAAATAAATGAGCGAGGAGAGGTTAGAGTTAATTCCGCGGCTCTGAACTCTGATGTGCCAAAAGACAACCTGAAGCATTCACAGATAAAACATTAGTATAGGTTTATATTATGCAACAGGTGTTAGGACGAGACTGTCATTTTGTATGTGACAAGTGATTGAGTTTCATACTTGATGTCTCCATCTCTGACTGACACAGTGATCTCTGGGTGGAATCCACTTAGTTCTCCATAGTTTTCAAGCTTCTTTATACTGGCAGGTATATCATTTAATAAGTGCATTTCATTTTTATATATTACATAAAATTGATTTAATATACTGAATAACTGAATATGGCAATAAGTATTTACAAATGTTATTCTAAAATCAATTATACATTACTTGAGTTTATTCAGATTCTTTCCTTCAGCAGCAGCTGAGACCAAACCAACAACATCATCTGAAATGTGATCCATTATCAACCTTTCAAAGTAAAACAACACAGTATATCAGATTTGATTGTCATTATACACAGTTATTTCAGGTTTGCATTTGCAGTGTTTCAGACCAAAGTATGGGAGATG